AGGTCTGGTCTTTTCATGGTGTCTCAAAGACCTCACGTGTTCCACTCAGGTGTTTCTCAAAACGTACCATTTCCTTAATGGAAAAACCCCTCTGCCAAGAGTTCAAATGCTGGTGTCCTGTCCTCCATGTGACCCTTCCCCTTGAGTTTCTGGCTTGCCGAAATGTCGATTTCAGGTCACTGTGTTTTTCCTTCACTGTTTCTCTATTGGACTGCTTTGCGGAGTGTTCTTTTCAGGTGTGTGGCTTTTGTTTACGCTGTGCTTGTTTAACCCTGTGAAGCTGTCTAACACACCTGATGGTCCTAATAAGAGCTGAGCGGCCAATAGCGAGGCAAGAGCAAGGGTAGGCGGGGCTGGCAGGCAGAGAGGATAAATAGGAGGAGAACGCCAGGGGAGAGGTGCAAGAGAACAAGAAGAGGACATCAGGGGTCAGCCTCCCAGCAAGCAGCAGAGGAAGAAGAAAAGAAAGGTATCCAGAAATAAAGATAAGAGTTCAGAGGCAAAAGGTAGTCTGGTTAATTTAGGTTAAGAAAAGCTGGCAACATTGTTTGCCATATTCGAAACTTGGAAACAACCTAAATGTCCCTGACTGAAGAATGGATAAGGAAAATCTCTCTCTCTTTCATGCTCTCCTCCCCTTCTCCCCAATTTACTCAGATTTTTTTTTTTTTTAAATCTATTTCCCCTTCCCAGGGTAATCCATGCATGTCTCTTAGGTCCTCCTTGTTACCTAGTTTTTCTGGGGTTGTGGACTGTGGCTAGGTTTCCTTTGCTTTATGTCTAATAACTGTACTGTGAGTATATACCGTGTTCTTCAAGACAGGGTTTCTTTGTACCCCTGGCTGTCCTGAAATTAGCTCTGTAGACCGGGTTGACCTTGAAGTCATAGGTATCTGCCTCTCAAGCGCAGGGATTAAAGACAATGTGCCATCACTGCCTGGTCCAATTCCTTTCTTATGCTTGAGATTTATATTGTCAACTCCAATTAGAAAACCAGCAGGATTAACAAAAATTAGTAATAGCAAAGGCAAAATGTTCCCCAAATCTTACTAGGACTTCCTAAGTCAGTCCAAAACATCCTGTCCTGAGCTGAAGCAAAGGGGGCTCCCTCAGCTCTGCTCGTAGAACGAGCTCGTTCCGTTTGCGCTTTCCCACTTCTTAATTTGAGAGCTAAATTCAGTTAATTGGGCTTGCTGAAAACTCCTGACCACACACAGCGCTCGTTGGCAGACCATGTATTTACAGAGGGCTGGCGGGATGGCGCACGCAGAGAAAGCTGCCAAGCCTGGTGCCCTTATCTCTGGGACCCACACATGGAAAAACCGATTCCTGCAAGCCTTAAATGCCCATACACACATGAATGTAATTTTACATTAAAAAAGATGGACTGTGTGTCTCTAGCCATACCACTCCCCCAACCTGCCCCACCCTGAATCTCGGTGTTTGCTGGCTTCTATCTAGGGCATCTACAGCAAGTTCTGATAGGAATAACTTGGGAATCAGTTTCAACCCTTCTCACCTGCGTCAGTAGGCGGTCCCTCGTCTCTAAACGATAGGTCGTGCTCATCACCCGCCTGGCAGGCAGGTCAACCCGGCTAAGGTAGTGGACTCAAGAAGTTCAAGGCCAGCCTGGGAATATTTACTGAGACCCTGCTTCAGAGTGAACTGGGGCTGTAGTCCCGTGAGTTTTTATAGAATCCACGAGGCTATACTTCAACCCCCGGCAGTCCCCTGCCCCACACCACCACCGTTAGAGCACGCTCTGTTTTTTCACTCGGCTTCCTGGACACATCTACAGCGCCCTTTGTTTAGATTTCACCGCACGCAGATGTTCATAGTTCCTGCTGCTGTATTAGCCCCGCGCCCCTCCACTTACACAGCTGCTCCCTGTGTCTCTTCCTTTCTGCCCTGAGTGCTCTCGGACACTCAGCTGGGAAGTCGTGGCGACAATCACAGTAGAGCTCCGCTGTGCTGAGATCCAGTACTGAGGTTAGCCCGAGGGGCAGGTGATGGTGACCTTGACGGATTTGTGACTAAGGTCACTTAGTGAAAAAGACGCGGAGAAGCTTTATGCTTCCTCAAATCAGGAAGAGTGGAACACGTGGGAAGACTGAGGCCACAGGAAAGACTTCTCGTAGGTAGCCATAGACCTGGACAGATTAACCATCATTCTCTTCCGGTAAAGATGCTGTGTCTGCTCTCGTTCCTGTGTGGCTGTATCTCAACTGAAAGCAAATAAGCAAACTTAAAAACCTTAAGTCCACTGAATTAAAAATGTTTTTTTCAGTGGTGCATGCTTTTAATCCCAGCACTTGGGAGGCAGAGGCAGGCGATCTCTGTGAGTTCATGGCCAACCTGAACTAGAACAACCTGTTCTAGAACAGCCAGAGCTGTTACAAGAGAAATCCCATCTAAAAACAAACAAACAAAAAAACCCAAAACAAAACCAAATTCAAACCATGCAGAGGGTGTCTCCTGTTGAGTATCAATTGTGAATGAGACTAGACAGAAACTAGAGGGCAAGGAGACGGCCATTCTCGCAGGAACCCTCTCCACAATCCACCCTTTTAAGAACAGCCTGGCAGCCCCAGGACTAGCAGCTGATTCACTTTCTGTTCCAGCTCACGAGCAGGAAGATCAGCAAAGGCGGGGTAGCCTTCTGTCCACAGCACAGCCCCTATAAAGGACAGGACCTCCCCTCCCTCCCAGCTATGGCCCAAAGCATCACTGTTGGAGGACTAGGCATCCTCGCTTGGCAAACAGGACTTCCTGTGTTTACAGGGCACATGGACACAAAACCACTTGGAGCTTGTAGTCTGGTTTCTAACTGGGGAAGGTGGGGAACTGTGGGACAGATTTAATTGTGGCAGGGATAAGGGGGGTAATGGGCCCCAAGACACAGTTTATAGCCAGATGACTTGGATGAGGAAACAGGCAATATCACTAGGCTCCAGTTCACTCACACGAGGAGTAACTGACAATAAAGGTGTTTCTGCGTGCAAACACGTGGGCAATCTGTTTATTACAGACTTGCTGGGTTAGGGATGTACCTCAGGGACACCTGGCCCACCCACGAGGACCAGGGCTGGGGGAACAACAGATCAAGGGGACATGTTTGGAAAGCAGGTCCTCAGGAACATGTCAAAAAGACCTGCTTTCCAAATGGACATGACTATCAGTCAGTTGGAACTCTACCGTAAGGTCTAGAGACAGACTGGATAGTTGCTAAAAACCCTGAGAATTATGCAAGCTTCACAAGGGACATCTTAGCAAAGGCTGGGGCGTCTGCCTGGAAGGCTTGTGCACAGGTAAGGGAGATAAGATCTACCACCTGTGAGAGCACGGAAGGCGCCTGCTTTAAAAAAAAAAACAAAACCTGACCCAAGTGTAAGTCACAAACATGGCCAACAGATGGCACCAAAACTCCCAATCTCAGGTTAAGTACTGCAGGCTGGCTTTCTTCCCTGTACCACTCAACCTCCCAGCCTGGTGGCCCTGTTCTGTCATGAAATCAGCTCACTTTCAGTGCACAGCAGAAAGCCCAATGTAGTGAGTATCCCTGTACATTCTGAAGCCAGGCTGCCTTGTCAATCCCTACCACCAGTGAGTTGATTTGGGGAAGCTGCCTAGCTCCTGTGCCTCACATCCAATCTATGGTTACCGTGACAACCAAGTTGTTTTGGGCACACTGCTTGCTTGTCATACTCTGAACCACCTGTCTCACCCACTTATGTCTTGCCATCTAATGTTACCCCTTCCTGTGTGGAGAACAGGCTCGTGGTGCAGGTGAGCAGGCGTTTATCCCCGCCCACTTCCCCTTCAGGCACTAAGCACTGGCAATGCAGACTGAGGGCAGGCCTGGAATCTCAGGGACAGCAGGTACCCACCCAGTGCCAGGCTGAACCCAGAAGAGCAGTGGCAGTGGAAGACAGGAAGCACCCCTCAGCCCCAGCACTCCACTGCCAACCCGACTGCTCATCTAAGCCAAGTGCACTAGAAACCAAGATGAAGTCACAAGTCCAGGTTCTCACAAAACATCTGAGGGACAGCAGGGCAGGCCTTTGGCCAGTCAGGGTGGGCATGTTCTCAGAGTGACCAAAACCTCCCAGCACTGCAGCACAGATCTGGAGCACTTTAAGGAGGCTGGGGTTCAATTTTTCAAGTGTTGTACATTATACCAGGCTACGAGCAGACATTATCAACAAGACATTTCTAGCCTCCCCCCAAACTATTTCTAAACCTTAAATTCTCCCTTCAGATTAAATTCAACCAAAGCCCTCTGTCCATTCTAAGGAAAATCCCCGTCTCCTTCAGAACTGAGCATCACTCCCAGCAGCAGAGCCAAGAGCATCTCACTCCACTACCTTACAACTTGCTCAGGACTCTGTTCTCATTATCCTCTCCAGAAGGGTACCCTGCTCCTGGTATCATGGTGGCAGTTGTCACTGTATTTTGGCCCCAACTTTGTAAGCCTTTACTGCTCAGTTTCCTTTGGTGCACTATGCCAAGCCTAGAGGCCCATTTCCAGAAGCCACAATCAGTTGCCCAACTTGGGACTATGGACTTGAAACATCAAAGGGGCAGCATAATTGCCTTGTAACCTGAGACCTGGCCTGCTAAGCCACACCCCCATTGTTTGCCTACCTATCTAGTTTTAAACTCTCCACCAAGGCCATGAATGAGGCAGAGGGTTTGCTGCTCTTCTGCACTAGACTAAGAATGGAGCATTTCAAATGCATGACCTATTTACTGGCATTTTCTACAACTCAGAAACAGACAGGAATGCTCAGTGAGGGGTGGTCCTTGTCCAGCAAGATCAATTCCTAGCACCCCAGACAGGGCCAGCTGGGTGATGATAGATAGCTAAGGGTGATTCAAAGCACTGTATCTGATGGAATCATCTTCCCCGCACCAGACAGTAAACCCCATGAAACAATCTCACTCCTTTTCAAACACTCTGAATACAGAAACAAATCTCACTAAGGTAACTAACTCAAAACTTCAATAATATTTTCTTTATTTACAAGTTAGAATCAAGAGAAAGAAAAGATAGTCCAGGGGGCCAAATGGAGAGGTGACTCAAATCCCCAGGCCCCAAATGGAGTAGAAGGAAAAGGGAAGAGTAGAAAAAAAAAGTCAACGTAAAAAAAGGAGCTCCCTCTTCTTCCCTCCCCATGGAGGCTGGAGGGAGGGCCATGGTGCTCCTTCCTCACAGCCTCACCTAGCTTAAATAAATTAAAACCTCAAAACAGGGCCCTTAGAAGTGAACAGGACAGCTATGGCCTTAGGTGGCCTTGTGCCAGGCCTATGCCCACTCCCACCCATACCCTTGCCCACCCCCATCATCCTGAACAGGGACACTACACCCAAGAGGTCATTCCCCAAAGGGCTAGCAGTCAGTCTGGTTCTGTCCGTGTCCCTGCATCCTCCCACTGCAGAGCCAGCTCTCCTATGGAGGGAGATGAAGAAGTGTCACAGCAAGGGGACAGTGGTGGGGAAGGGTGGTACAGGGGTCCGGTCCTGCGGAGCCTTCCTGCCCCATTTGGCCTGACCCCTTAGCCCGTGTCTGAATCGCTGGTGTCTGAAGAAGAGGACGACGACGAAGAGGAGCTGGAGTCTGAGCTGGAGCTGGAAGCACTGAGCCGGGACACTGCGACTTGCTGTGCAGATGAAGACTCCGTTTTCTCACTCGCTGCACAAGAGTAACATGTATTTGTCAACAACAGAACACACGCCTAGCGACAGAAGAAGTGGAAAGAAGGCGGAGTCCCAGCACTCACCTTTCTTGGGAGGTTTTTTGGTGGAGTTAAGCTGTCCACTGACATCCTGCAACCGCTTCTCTAGTTCCCGCTTTTTCTCCAAAGCTAGCTCCTCCTTTGTCTTTCCCACAGGTTTCTTAATAGCTAGGAGGAAAGGGCAAAGGACTCACTATAGTATCATATTGCCTTTAGTCACCAAGAACTGCCAAGTCTCTTTCCATTCCTAAATATGAAGCAGCCCACAATCCAGTGTGGCCTGTCACACACACCACTCAGATACTCACTATAGGGTTTCCGGGGTTTCTTCCGAAGGCAGGATAAAACGTATCGCTCAAGCTCTCTGAGTGTGGATGGCTTGAGTGTTTCAAAATCAATCTCGATTTCTTCTGGATTTGAATCACGTAAAGAGGGTTCCCTGGCTTGGATGATATGTACAACTCGACCCAACTTCTCCCCAGGTAGTTTGTTGATATCCAGGCTTAACTGCCTCTTTTCATCATAGCTCATAGGCCTGCTTTCTTCTTCCTCCTCCGAATCATAACCAGTGGGCAGGACAGGTGGGGCTGTCTTTTGGGCCTTTTTAGGCAACCTATGGGCAACAGGAAACTTCTAATGAGTTCACCAAATGCAGAGGCCGACCTATACAGCACCCCAAGACTGACTGCCTCAAACACTCACTTGTTGCTACTTCCTCCAGAAGTCCCAAAGCCAGAGTGGCCTAGCATAGCAGAACTGCCACCCCCAGCTTTCTTAGATTTCTTGGGCTGAAGCGGTCGAGGTGCCCGAGACCCCTTGTCGTCTTCATCAATCCCAACTCGGCCCCGATGTTTCTCTGCCTTCCGTTTCTTCTTTTTCTCCTTTTTCTCTCTCTTCCGCTTGGGCTTAGATATTGGGCCTTGGGATAGGGCAGCCAGTTGTTCATGTACTGCTCGAAGCTACACAGGACAAAAGACAATAAATTAGGATCAAGAAACACCAGTTGTTCAAAGAACACACATAGGTCAAAGTTCTTACCCAGTCAAAGCCCAAGCCTAATGAAATACCTGCTCCTGCAGCTCTGCCAGGCGATGAGCCCTTTCTTCCTCAGAGTCTGAGCTCTCACTCTCCTCTTCCTCATCTTCATCATCCTCTTCCTCCTCTTCCTCAGAGGAGCTCTCACTGCTACTTTCCTCACTTGAAGACTCTGAAGATGATTTGGCCAACCCAAGAGGCAAGGCAGTAGAGACCGGTAAAGGCCCTGGTTCCAGTGGCTCATCGGGCATCTTGGCATAGCGGAACTCAAACACATCCTAAAAATGCAGGTGGGAGACAAAACTGTGTTTAATGCCCAGTCCCTCAACTCACTAGCTCCAACTTAAAGAATGGCAAAGTTTTACACATTTTAAACGTACAGCAAACTAAACCTCTCCTCATAACCAGGTATGTGTAAACGACAAGTCACACTCACCTGTAACTTTCGTGCCATGGCCACAACATCGTGGTCAGGAGGATTGTACTTATAGCAGTTGGAGAACATGAGTCGAACATCAGCAGCTAACTCCTGTGCATCTCGGTAATCACGATTCTCCATCTTCCGCTGCAGAAGGAGGCAGCATGAGAAGCTGCACAGGCAGAGACTCATCTTTCCCTGCCAACCCGACTCAAGAGCAGCCCTCTCTTGGAACAACAGTGGGGATGACCTTAACATCTGTGCCCTGGGGCTCAAGTTTGAAGTCCAAGGATTTGGGGTAGGTTTGAAGAGAGATCTACGTCTAGAAAGAAACATTTCTAAGTGACCAAGGCCATCTCCCACATCACATCTCCCTAACCCGACTCTTAGGAACTGCTGAAATTTTATCCTTACCGTAAGAAACAAGGACTTGAAAGTATGTGACCTTCTTTCTGCCTTGTACAGTTTTATAGTAGCAAGACACCCAGAGTGAAAATCTACTAAGTGCCCGTAAGGAGACATGGATATTGCTTTAGGTCCCAATCACTGCCTGAGCATCCCATCTGCCCCATGCAGTGAGTACCTTGACAGTGCTGAGGTCCATGGGATGCTTAATGATGTCATGGTAATCGTGAAGGCCAAGAGCAGAAGCGTCCACTGGTTTATAGAAAGGCCAGGCATAGGCAGCATGCTTCTTCGAGAGCAACTCCTTCAAAATGCCATTGCAGTGCTTTAGCTGTTCTGACAGCTTTCCTTTCTTAGAGCTCTGGTGTTGCTGCTGCGAGTCAGGCAAGTCTTTTCGTGGGGGTTTGATTGGGCGGCCACTCTCTCTACGCATAGGAGGGAGCCGTGCTGCCTTTGGCTCAAGACCCCCAGGAGGACTAGCTGGGGAGCCAGGAGCCAGGATGGCTGTAGGTGTAGGGGTGGTCGTATCTGCTTTCCGTTTAACGCCTTTTTTCTGTAGAAAGATGAGGGACGGGGTCACTCCGGGTCCATTTCTTTAACACCTTCTCCTCCCAGGCGCCCAAACAATCTGATGTATTTATTACCTTGGCAAGGGGCTGAGCTGGAGGAGCTGCTGATACAGCGAGGAGTGGGGGTCCAGCAGAATGCAGGGACTTCAGAAGGGGAGCAGAGATGACTGACGGGTGGGGAATGTTGAGGACAGTGGTGGGTATTTCAGGCGGTGGCGTATATAGGGCTGTATGCGACACAGAAGAAACCGCAGGCACCTGATGGGCACCGGTAATATTGCCCTGCAGTGCTAGGAAGGGAAAAACAAGTTTCACTCGTTCTCATCTTTAGTCAGGTCACCTGTATCTTTCCAGTCACTAGGCCACACATACGGCCCCATCTCTTCCTACCTGCTAACTTGGCCCCCTTCTTATGGCTGTTCTTAGGGATGGTCACCACAAGCTCTTGTTCCTCTTGTGGCATAGCTGCCACTTTCTGTAGGAAGATTTTCTCTAGTGTCTGTGCCATCAGGACGATGTCGTCGGTGGGCTGTAGGAACAAGCACACACAAGTTACCATCTCTGCAGAACTCCCAGCCCCAGGGCCCCACACCTTTCGGATTCCGTCACCACTGCAAGCACGAGGCAGAGCTGATGAGTTACATATCCTGCTCTTCTCAGGCCTCCAGAGCTTTCTGAGAAACATGGCTACCACCCCCCTAAATGAACCGCGTTCGACTTAAATCCTGTCACTCCAGGGGCCCTGCTCTCTAAGGGTGGCATGTGGAGGTCAGGCTTTTCTAGGACCTTCAAGACCTGGACACTATTTCCAGCAGCTAGAACCACAAACAAATGTACTGCCTCTCATGGCTATAGTAAACAAACATAAACACTTCAAAAAGCCCAGCCTACCTTGTTATAAATGTAACAGTTGGTAAACATTGTATTGAAGTCCTGCATACACTCTGAGGCAGCCCAGTAGTAATTGTTTTCAAGCCTCCTCTTGATAGTACCCATGTCCATAGGCTGTTTTATAATCTTGTGGTAATCCTAAAGAAAGATAGGCCAGGTCAGAGCCATGGAAAAATGCCTATTCTAGGGCAACTACTGACAGGAATGACAGACACACACCTGCACACACACCCTAGCCACTAAGGGAGTATGCCCCACACTGCGGCCCCAATGAAACTATGGGTCAGAAAATATTAGAGTAAGATCTTTTAATTCCCACTACTAGGAAGTCCCTAAATGCCTTTCTCTAGCCACCCACCTCCCACCCACTCTGGAAGCTTCCCATCCTGTGACATTACCTCTGGGGATGGCTATCCATGGGCTGCATGAGGGAAAGGAAGAAGCTAAGAATTTTGGCCACCGTGGTCCTCTCCCAACCAGGGGTGGGAATCTGTAAAATGGAGCCAGGGCACAAAAGTTAAGGAAGGGACACATGGAGGGCAAAATGAGAGATGCCAAGATAGAGATAACAAGCACAAAGGACCAAGAATCCAGAACTCTGGTGGCTATTTGTCCTCAAGAGAATGGGAGCTCCCTAGGGGCCGCAGCACCTACACTAGGTAGCCCACACCCCCACTCACGCGCTCCTGCTCACCCCCACACCTGCCCCAGCCCACCCTCTCACTCACCGGCAGACCCAGCTTCACAGCGTCCACAGGCTGCCGGAAGGGCCAAGCAAACTGGTGCTTCCACAGGGCCTTCATCACCACCTTGTGCAGGTACTGCAGTTGGTTTGTTACCCGCCCTGGCTTTTTGGGATTGGAAACCTCGGGGGGCGGTGGATTGGCAGGGGTCAGTTGTAAAGCTGGTACAGAAGCCATCGTGGGGCTCTCAAATCCCTCATACAGCAGAGAAGGCTTTCGAATCCTTTTCCCTGGTGCTGCCGCCTCTGGGCCCAGCCCCAGTAACCCTGCATTCCCTTCCCCAGGGAGCCTGCAAAAAGGGGAAGCAGAATTAGACGTGAAGGCATGAAAGATGAAAAAGTTGCTAACTCGCAGTATGCACCCCTATAAACTCGGGCTCTGGCTGTCTGAGGTTCACATGAAAATAAATCACAGGGAGAAATCATCTCCATCTAGCTCTTACATCCTCTAGTTGCAGGAGCTACTTGGTTAAAATAAACACAATAACCAAGATGTCACATGACAACTCGAGCCTTATAGGGAGGAATCTGAAGCAAAAATAGGTGGAGCTATGAAAGCGAAGCTTCATCCTCGCTAGGGACCTAATGGTTGCCATGGTGGTTGAGACAGAGAAGGCCGTGAACAGAGGAAAGAAAAGGGGTGGGAATAAACTTCATAAACACGACACCTAATAATTCATCTTGGCATGTTTTGCAATCTTCGAGTTAAAGCCACAGTAGAAAACCAGACAAAACACTAACCCAAAGACACAAGGAAATATCGGTCAGACCTAAAGGTTTCCCTAAAACAACTCTCCTTCAAATCACACCCCGCAGTCAAGGTCAGGAAGCCCTAATTTTGATTGCACGTCCCGCTACAAAGTATCTAACGCTAGCAGCTCCCGCGGTAGGAGACCGAAGGCCAACGGGGGCGCGGTGGTACTCTAACCAGGTGTTCCCCAGTGCCCGCGACACTACACCCAGAGCTCATTGTTTACATCCGCAGAGGAGCGCTGGGCCAACTCTTCGCTCCATCCATCCATCTCCTAACCCCTGAACGAAGCTCGGCGGTACCCAAACACACCCACCGCCACCGAAAGGAAGCACCGGTCAGAGAAGGGCTATCTATGCAGCAAGAACCCAGCCTCGGAGGGACCGTCTCCGTGGGAATCCCGCTATCAAACCCTCAAGCTGTCACCATGGCAACTCTACGGACACTGAAGTGGGCGAGACCCCCCCACAAACACGACGACAAAGTCAAGGCTGAGCCGCGCACAACCCCCACCCAGCGGTCCGGCTCGGTCTGGCCGAACGGGCCTGCGGCCGCAGCAGCGCAGACGCCGCCAGGCCGCTCCGACGCAGTACCTGGGCCGCGGACACCGCTCCAAAACCGTCGCAGTCCCCTCCGCGAGCTCGCGTCAACAGCTGCGGCGCGGCAGCGCGCCCGCCCGCCCCGAACGCCGCCCCCCTCCCACCCCGGCCGGCGCAGACGTACTTGTGGGGAGTCACGTTCTGCAGCATCTTGACCTCGGGGAACCGCCGCTCAGCCGCGTCAAGTCCGGGTGGCCTCGGCGCCGCTCACCGCCGGGGCCAGCATAACCCGGGGAGCGGGGGAGAGGCCGCGCTCCCCGGCTCTCCCGACGGCAGCCTCGCCGCGATCGCGGTCTCCTGCGCCGCCCTCCGCGCAATTCCGGCAGCTTGGCGCGCTCCGCAGGCGGCGGCGGCAGGAAAATGGCGGCGGCCTCTGCCGGCCGGCGAGCAGAGTCTGCAAACCCCGACAGTCTCCGATCCGCGTCACCGCCGTCAATTCCGCCCGCTGCCGGTCTACCGGGGCCCCGTCTTCCTGCCGCGGCTGCCGGGGGCAACGAGCGCTGCGTCAGATCTCCGATGGAGGCGGATGAACACCGAGAGGGGCTTCAGAGAGCCGCCGCCTCCATCTTTGAAATCCTCCCGAGGGCGTAGTGGAGGGGTGGACAGACTCCGCGGGCTGGGCGGGGCCCGAGAAAGGGGAGTTGCGGGGGCTTCTACGGGGTCTGCACTGCCCGCCGGGGCCGGCCGCGGACGGGGGCGGAGGCCATTTGCAGGCGGATGGACGCGGATTGGCTCGGCGGCCCGCGAAGCTCTGGGTCGGCAGGCAGGATCCTCCAGCCCGTCCTAGACGCTGCTCCACTCCAGCGCGAAATGGCGCCGCCGAGCCCCGCGCCAGCGCTTTATATATAGTCGGAGGGGCGGAGCTTCGCCGCTCATGCGCGCCACCCGACTGGCGGCGGCCCCCGCCCCCTCCGCGCGTGCTCGCTCGCTCACGCGCGTGAGGAAGCAGAGGCTGGGAGGCCGGGCCGCCTCTTCGCGGGAGCTGCTCCTATTGGTCCGCTCCGGGGTGACGTCACAGACTCCATTTCCAAGGCGTCCATCACCCGGCAGTGGAGTACCGCAGCGAGCCAAGGCAAAGGGGCAGCCCGCCATGTCTCCCAGCCAGTTGGCTGCGCTGTGGCTCGGCGACTCCCGGGAGCGAGGGAGGCCGAAGGGCGTGCGGGCGCCTGTCTCCCCACCTCCAGGTCCCGCCGGGTCCAGGGCTCGCAGGCTCGGGGCGGCCGCCGATCGCCCGGGGCGGGCTGGTCGCGCCATCGCCGTCGGCGGCGCAGGGAGGGAGGGGTCGCGCGGGCGGGGCCGGCGGGAGGCTGCTGGGCCGCAGAGAACCTGAAAAGAGGAAGACAGACGCCATCTTAGGAGCAGCGGCCTGCTTTCCCGCAGCGACACCTCGGCGTCCCCCGTAGCCCCGCGACGCAGTCTAACGTTGCTCGGCTCGCAACACCCTCGCCTCCCCCATCGGGACAAAGGCCAGGCGCTGCTTAAACACCAGCCCAAAAGAGCGCGGCCACCCCAGGTGCCCCGCGGCGAGCGTTCCCCGGCCTCTGCCCACTCACTCTCACCCGCCTGCCACACAAGCCCACGGCGTCCGCCTGCCCCGAAAACCCTACCTCTCTCACTTTCCCCGCCGCTGCCAGGGCGAGCGAGGGCAGCGCGTGGCTCCTCTGTGCCCCCCTCGCCCCCGCGTGGGTGCACGGAGCCCCCCGCCCCCATCGGCCGGCGTCCTCCCCACGGAGCGCCCCTCGCACCGGTCAGCGCCAGGGAGGAGGGCGAGCCAAGGAGGCGGCGGCGCCGCTCTGCAGCCCTCCCCCTCTCTTCCCCCTCGCTGGCCGCCTCCGAGGAGGGGCAGGAGCCATTTTGGGAGCCGTCTCGCCCCCTCCCCCTCCTCCAGGCTGGACGGGGGCTCTGGGAACCAGAGGGACTCGGGTAGCAATAAACAGAGCCCAAGGTCAGCTGGCTGGTCCCCTCGCGGGAAAGTCAAGGGCTGCCCGCCAGAGGCCACCTGAGCTTCCCCAACCCCTCCTCGTCCCCAGGGAGACTCGTGTGCTCGTCTGGGCAAGGAAGTGAGAGTGGGTGAGGGGCTGCAAGGCAGGCGGGCTCCCCCTCCCCGAGTCACCCTCCCTCCACTGGAGCCCTCGACCTCGAACCTCGGTTACTGCATTTAACATGGCGGCCAAGCTGCTGTCTTCTGGGCCGCCAGGTTAGCGCAGCCCCTGGCAGGGGAAGCGCGCCTGGGAAGCGGGGCCCCTCCACTCCCCGTCAGGGCCCAGGCCCGGGTCGCCCGAGTGCGCGCGGCCCCGCCCGGGCGGCTGCGGCGAGCAGGACAATGACACAGCAACTTTGCAGGCGGCTCCCCTCCCCCTAGCGGCCCGGCCTCCAGAGTGGCGTTCCCGCGCCAGGGCCGCGCGCGGGTCGGGACCCGAGCCGGCAGGGGTGGGGTGGGGGTGGGGACAAGCTGGGGAACGGCGGGGCTTTAGGCAAAGGGCGGCCAGACGAGGCTCCCGCCGCCCCGCATTCCGGAAAGTCACCGGGCCCCAGTCGCTCGCAGGCCTCCCTGCCCCCACATGAGTCACAGGGGAGGCTGCAGCAGCTTAGTAATTTGGAAAAGTAACTCTCTCTTTCCGTTCCCTCCCCCGCAGCGCACAAGGAGGCGACTGTTGCGGGGAGGGGGAGGGGAGGGAGGTGGCGACACAGCACGCCACCCCAGAAACCCTAGACCTCGCACCGGAGGGCCGTTCCGGGTCCCGAGCGAGCTCCCTACTCCTTCCGCGTCCCCCCCCCGCCCAGCACCCACCCCAGGGCCAGCATGTCGCTCCCCACCCCGGGGCAGACCCGGCAGGGCCCACGAAGGCAGGCGGCTGCCATAGTAGGCCGCGCAGGCCGTGTCCGCGTGGAAAAGCACACACACTGGCTAAGGGTCGAAGCAGCGCCTGCAGCACGCCATGTGACGGCGGCCTGCTCCCCTCGACACAAACGGGTCCCCGGGGAGCCGGCGCCAGGGACGACATCGGTGCACCAGTCGAGCTGCCAGCTCGCGCTCCCACGGCCAACACCCCCCACTCGGCCTCACCCGCCGAAGGGACCCCCTCTCACCTGGCTGCAGGTTTCCCGGACCCCCAGGGGACCAGCGAAAGGGGGCACACGCCACCCTCGCCCCCTTGCCCTCCAGTGGGTACGTAGGCACGAGGTTGGCCATTCCCCTCCCCCCCCAGTGGCCCTCTCGGGCTGGCCCCGGTCCACACTCCCATTGGCTGTCAGGTGTTTGAAAGACAAGTCCCCCCATCCTCTCCCGAACCCCAAGAATGCGCCCCACTCCCCACCTTTAGTTATGCATTGACACGACGGCCGGCGTCCCCGCCCCGGGGGCCCCTGCTCACCTGGGTCCAGGAGCCACGTGGGGGGGCTTCAAAGTCGCCCTCGGCCCGGCCGGGGGGGAGCACGGAATCCGGGGTGTCAACCCCCCCGGAAGCCGAAGCGGCGTTGGGGGAGGGGGCGTCGCCCCCGGCCCCTCCCTTCTCTAGCCGCTGGGGGTGGGGGAAAGCATCGGGGCCGCGCAGCCACGTCAGCAGCACTCGGACTGGCTGGGCCGGGTCACGTGTCCGCTCCCCTCACCCCCACGGCCACGAGGGCGAGTTTTCCGAACGTCCCCGAGGGTCGTGTACGGGGTCCCGGGGGCTGCGCGTGCCCAGGCCTGTGTCCCGAGACCCCAGGCCTCGCTGTCCCCGGCCTCCCGCGCGCCTGCGGTCGACCCCGTCCCCCCCCCCCCTCGCCTCTCGGTACGGGTTCAGCAGGGCTGCCACAGCCCCGAAACACGCACAGCGCAGGCGCAAGGGTGTGACCGGACCGGGCGAGGGGGGGGGGGAAGAGCCGGAGTGCGCAGGCTCAGGCCGCCGCCGCGAGCCTCCGGGGCGGGCTGGGAGCGCGCGATGGGTGGGGCGGGAGCGCCCGGGCTTGTGGCTCGGCGGCCTTTCCCCCACCGCGGTGGGAGTCGGTTCTTCCGGCCGCGGCTTGGGGCGGTGCCTGGCGCCTTCTGGCCGGAGTGCGCGGGCCCCGGGCCGTAGGCCTGGCTGCAGGGCGGGCCTCCCTGGAACGGTGGGGGTCGCCCGGATGAGCTCTGTCTGCCGTTTAAATCGGGAGTGGTGGGGTTTCTCGAGTCCCTTAAACTGCTTTTCTCTATGAGACTTGCAAATACCTGAACTCTGACTTCTGCGAAGCTTGCCACCAGTTTGTTCCTCCGATCTTATGCAGGTAGACCTTTGAACAACGCGCCCACTGCGAAATTTTTGCGCGTTTTGATCATGGTTCTTTCCTGACTTTGTGCTCTCTACATTTCTGTCGCTAGTCTTACCAGTTCCTTTAATTTCTCTCAGTTTTTATCCTGTTAAAATGTAGGGTGGTCGCTAAATGTAGTGCAGCTAAGGTGTGAAGCTCTAGCTTGCTGTCGTATTTTGCTTTTCAAGAGTATGGTCTGGATTTCCACTCCCCACCGACAGACCACCTGCATTCTCCTTGTGTAGACTGGGCCATGTTTCTTTCTCGTTGTACCTGGGGGTTCTCAGTTTAAGGAAACTGCCTTTGACCTGATCAGCCTTTTCTGTAACCTAGAGTTATTTCTCCTGTCCCTTTTGGTCTCTTAGCCAGAAAGAAAACCCATTCGATATTGTGCCCTGCCAGTAAACACTCAGTCTTTCTCAACTCTGAACAGCCAGGATCTGGACTTGGCTCCCCGGCTCCCTCCTCATGGCCCCGTTCATTCAGCTGCTGTGTGTGAGGTTCTGACCGCCTCACCAGGACCTCCCACCTGGCGGCCTCAGAAATGAGACCACTTCTCTGATTCCTCCCTGGCATTGCCTGTGCCCAGGCCCTCTCCAGGCTCCGCCAGGCCCTTCAGGCAGATGTTTGACAGGCTTGCATCCTTGCCGGCATCTTTAATGACAAGCCTTTCAACTCCACGTTAGTTCAGAACTCCTTACTAAGAATTCCTGCTCGGATAACCTCAGCCTGCTCAGAGTGACGTGGGCTGCGCACCTCCGGTGTTTGGACAGCAGCTTCCAGGTCTCCAGGTCTGGAATGGGGAGTGTCAGTCTTATCTTTCCTCACAACTTCAGATCCGTTGCATAGTGGCACTAGCCATATTTTGAGTTCTCAGTAGCCACACACGGTTAGTGGCTGTCCCACAAGGCGGCACAGTTTGTAAATGACAGAAATGATCTCGTAGAAGGCCTTGCTGTGTTAGCTAAGTGCCCGGTCACTGAGCTTCTTCCCCAGCGGTGGGATTGGTGGAATTGTGTTTTGGATATCTCCACTCTGGGCTTTCCCTCCTGGCCTGTGCCGAATGCGCTTCCTTCCCTAGAACTCTGTCCCTTGTAATTTGTTAGTCCCCATGGCTTCTCATTACACAATAAAATTTAAAATGCTGTGTGTCTGTCAGAAAGGTCCGCTTCCTGTTGCTAGCCTCACCCTGTACCCCACAAGGTTCCAGATGTGTGCCCTCCAACCTGATGTCAGCCAGTTCCTCTCTGACCCTGTACCCCACCCATGCTGGAGCAGGTTCCCAGATGTGTGCACTCAGGGATGTTCTTTTGTGCCTCAGTGTTTGC